TGAAAATATCAATTAAAAATATGCATGTGATATTTAGAAAATTAGTTTTTTCTTGTTTTCCGAAAACACAAAAAAATGACTTAGGCACTTATGCTATGAAGCTAACGATATGCTTTCAATAGTGTCATTTAAGTGATCTAGGTAGCTCTGTTTTGGAAGTTAACGCTAGAAATGTGTTTTGGAATTTGTACGTGCTTTGTCTCTAGGGGCCACCGTATATATTTATATATAAACATATATAAATAAAACCACCTTTTTTTAGTAATTCCTTTTGTGCATAATTTTATATTGTTGTTAATAATAAATTAATTAAAGCAACAAAACAACCTGAAGAGCCGGTTGGGAGCCGAAAGAGCTGGTTCTCTAAAAAGAGCTGGAGATCCCATCACTAACACCCAGCCCACCACTGGGGAGAGATGCCCTGCAGATTCCCGAATGATTGGTTGATTTATAATACTTTATTCATCCTGAGGGCAGTAATTTAAGAAAAGTAAATTACACAGCTTACACCTAAATTCTTACCCTATTCAATGTGTCATGTGCCCTGGTGTCAGCTGCTGTCATCAAGACATTGTTATCCAGACGTCTTGTATATATTTTATTTGTTTTCTGAACCTTTCTCTGGCTCAATTAGATGGTAGCAATTAAGTTCAGTTTATCAGCAATTTCTAAAATGCTAAAACCAGCCCAGTTTCCTCCAATCTTCTGCCAAGTGATGGAAGTGGAAAGTGGAAAAGTGTGCCTAATGAAGTGACTACTGTTGAATCTGCATAATGTAATGTATGACTCTATGGGGACTGCTTCTAATCTATCGTTTTATTTTTTTCCTCAGTTCAGCGCTCTGTATATAAGGAAATATCAACTAAGGAGCAAGGCAAGGGCTAAAATTTACCAGTTTTATACACTGACACAAAGAAGAGGGCAGGGTGTATAATCATGTGTAAGCTACCAGATTAAACCTCAGCTAACTTATTTAATATAAATGTTATAATCATTCCACTGGTGTCATTTAACTTGTAATGTAAAAAAAAAAAAATCAGTGTAATATTTTTGCACAAATAGAAACGAGTTCACCTACTTGTTTGTGTTGTTCTCACACTTGTAACCTACTTCTTTAGGGTGAGAAAAGCTTCGAACAGGACTCCCTGATGAAAGGGGGCCGTCTGGGTCCAATGCACAATGGCACAGATTACAAAGAGGTCCGATTTGGGCCACACATATGTGTGTTGACTCCTCAGTCCACCCACCACCTGGTCCGCTTTTACTTTGTGACGCGCATAAAGAGCATCCTGGACGACTTCCGCCATGGCTTGAAACCAGATCTTATTTTAAACTCCTGTATTTGGGATACTTCAAGGTGGGCGTTGTTGGGATGGAATTATTTGAAGTGCCTCAATTCTATGCTGGATAGGCCCCATGTGGCTGTAGCAAAACAGCCACAAAATCAATTTAACAGACTTATTGTTATTTAACTATTATTATTTAACAGTTTATTACCTCTTTTATCAGTAATGTACTTACTATAAAATATAGATTTCATAAGTTACGGGTTTATTGAAGTCAACTAGTGAACACATCGATCACTTTATTGAGCTACACCACTTCCACTCTTGTGAGCTCTGGTTACTAACAGCAGACGTGAATGTTTGAAATCCTAAACACAGATAAAGATTAGAATAACAAGGCAATGTAAAATCAGTTTGATGCAGCTGACAGTAGCAGCTCAGATGGAAATCAGCCAATTGTGAGGGGAGCAGAGGAGTAAAACTGTCAGAGTTGACAGAGTTGTGCTTTGTCTCTAGGGGCCACCGTATATATTTATATATAAACATATATAAATAAAACCACGTTTTTTACATTAGTAATTAATTCTGTGCATAATTTTATATTGTTGTTAACAATAAATTAATTATGTTATGTTATGTTATGTTATGTTATGTTATGTTATGTTATGTTATGTTATGTTATGTTATGTTATGTTAGCAACAAAACAACCTGAAGAGCCGGTTAGGAGTCGAAAGCCGGTTCTCTAAAAAGAGCCGGAATTCCCATCACTACTCTACATAATCTTGTGAAAACTAAGTACACCCCATGATTCAGTTGCTTGTAGAGCCACCTTTAGCAGCAACAAATTGAAGTAATTGTTTTCTGTATAACTTTATCGGTATCTCGTGTCATTGTGGAGAAACTTTGCCTTGCACTTCTTTGCTGTGATGTTTCATTTCATTGAGGTTTGTGGGACTTTGTTTAGGCACAACTCTCTTCAGGTTGTTTTCAATCGGGTGGAGATCTGGACTTTGACTTGAGCCATTACAACATCATGGGTCTTTTCTTTCTCAGACATTCTGTTGTGGTTGATTTGCTGCTGACCCAGTTTCACCCAAGCTTTAGATGGCAAACAGATGACCTCTTATTTCACTCTAGACTTTCATATGTACATATGGGTTTGGAGTTCACAGTCATCTCAGTAACTACAAGGCACCTGGGTTCTGTGGCTGGAAAAAACAAAAACAAATGATCACCCCTCCACCACCGTGCTTGACAGTTGGCATTAGGTGATTGTACAGATTTGTTGTGTTTGATATTCTCCAGACACGGTGCTGCACATTATGGACAAATATCTCTACTTAGGTCTGTCCAAAGGACATTGTTCCAGAATTCTTGTGGTTTGTTCAGATGCAAACCCAAACTGTGTTGCCATGTTCTTCAGGCTTACACCTTGCAACCTTTCCAAACAAGCCATAGATGTTCATTTTTTTTTCTAATTGTACTGCCAAAAAACGTTAAAATTTAACATACAAACTGAGGCCTGACAGTGAGATTTTACCATTTCTCTGGGCATTGTACGGTCAGATGGAATGAATTTTCTGGAATGTCCACTCCCAGGAAGATTGCAGCATTGTCCTGACAACACACACCTACAGTAAATGCTCCAGATTAGCAAACTGCTCAAACTTAAGCTTTTATCAAGCTGCTCACAGTTGCTGGTGATCAGTTAATAAAGTGCATTTCATTTGCAGTACCTGAGTGCTAATTCCAATTACAGTGGAACACAACTTCTGAAAACGTTCTTTTTCACTTGGCTGCAACTTCATGCCATCTATATCCTCCCCTATAATTCTTTCACTTATGCAGATGACATCAGCACACTCGCTCCTCTATGTCTCACAGATCGTAACAGCCATTTCCATAGCAAACATGTGAGATCCCATAATCCAAACAAATTTATTATGCTTTCATCTGACCGAACAATGTGCTGGCTACATTCATCATCCTTCTTGTCACAGTGGTTTCACAAATACAGTATTTCAATTTTGTGTGGTTTTGAGAGCAGTAATTTTCTCCTTGAACATGGTCCAAAGAGATGAACATCACACAGTGCACTATTTAAGCAATCACTGAAATAACAAACAAAGAAAACAAAATCTGTAATGTCACTGGGTGCTTTGGAAAGTAATGGAAAAAAAGAAGCTAATCACATTTGTTGCAACATAGAGTTGAGCTCACTTGCATCACTGAGACTGTGTATTGGGACCTGCATTTTGCAATGTGCCTTTTTTAAAGTTATAGGTAAGATCCAAACTTGATTAATGTAAACGTATTCAGAAATGATAAGAAGCACAAACACATGGCTTTGCAAATGTTAAAAAAAATAGGTCTAATGATAATAATTACGTTTTTAATATAATTTAATATAATATTTAAGTCCGTAGATATGTTTTGGTTCTTCATGCTTTCTCTTCAGCAAATTGGTCTCTGGCGCCACCTTACGTCCTATCAGAGAGCTCGCAAGGCGTGACAAGTGACGTCACGTGTTTACAACTGCCAATGAACACGTGGCGCACTGAATCTGAAGCCGTCATTGGTCGAAATGACATCGATATGGGTGGGTACTCTGCCGTTAGGAGCCAATAGGGTCTGGCATGTAAATTCTGTTTGAAATTTTCCCGGGAAATCTGAGTTTCGCGGGAGGGTTCTTGAGCGCGTAAACCGTATCCCTTCATTCATCAGGCCGTTTCCTGAAGCCATTTCTAGACGGGGGAAACGAGAGTTGCGCTACTTTTTAATCCGTTGCATCTGCCTAAATGCACTTTCTGAGGGAAAAATACTTTTCAGAAATCGATAGTTCAGACACTCGTCTTTACTTTGGTCTGATTATTTTTGTAACCATTGCGGCGGATTAGCAGCTATACGAGCTCGAAAGTTCCGAGATAAGAAAGGGGTTACCCTGAATACGCAAGATGAGAAGAGGGACCTCCTCGGCTCAGGAAAAAGTGATTTTAGCAGGGGTTGGAGGCTCTTCTCTGGATAATAATATAATTTTAACAGCTCTCTCGGATCGTTTGAACCCCGGTCAATCTAACGCTACGTATATCCAAATAATAACCACACCACCGCCTTGCAACATTACACAGACATCAAATGTGTGTTTATCCGAGCCTCAGATTAACAACATTTACACAACTCCACAACAAGCTGCAGCAAACGCAGCCGGACAACGACCCGCTCTGGGAAGACCGCCGGTAATAATCCACACAGCTTGCTTATACATTTAGCTTTGCTACGCTCAGCGACACAATGTTAGCTTGCTAACCTAGCCGAGCTTGTTGTTCAGGGCAGCTAATGTTAGCTATTTAGCCAGGGCATTCCCTCGACTCAACCTAGCGAGGTGGCTAACTAACTACCGCTAGCTAAGTTACCCAAGTGAGCTGGTTAAGTGTTTTCGTTTGCTGTGGGGACGCCAGTGACAAGTTTAAGTGAGTTTAGCGTTAACTGGAATGCAGACCTGTCATCTAAGAGAGTGTTAGCAGACTTCATGGTGCTTTTGAGTCCGCTTCACCTTTGCAGCCAGATGGAAATATTGGTAAGAGATGACTAACGTTAGCGCTGGCCTAGTGGCTGCTGTTGGTGTCTTAATTTTGGGGGTTGGGGGATGGTTTCCCTGGCCGGTTCTTGGTAAGCTATATGTTTGTTTTTAGCGTTTTAACGCTACATGATTAGTGGAACTTATAAAGGCATGATGTTATACGCAGATATCGCTACAATTCAGTCTGGGATCTGCTCGATAGATTTTCTCCCAGTCGTCTGTGAAGATGCAAGCCAACTTGGGTAAAGCTTTGAAAATATGCGTTAGCTATCAGAGCTAGTAGCACTATTGGTTATTAGAGAGCAACGTTAGTCGTTGTCGAGCTTGACCTTATTCTTTTAATTCCGCACAACTGTGTCATGCCACTCTTTTGTAACTGAAGTAACGCTGTGGTGCCTTTCATGTCAAGTAAAGTGAAACCCGAGTTTGTTGCTTTAGTGCTGATTCTACGTTTCCTGTATTCTCAACATGCACAAACCACACAAAACAGTTAAAGCTGCATTCAGGGTGTTGTTTTCTTTTCTTTCTCCTCCTGGTTATTCATCTTTTATGAACTCAACCAGTCTGCACATATCAGGCTGTGAGCCATGAGAAGGCTTTGGGGTGAGGGGAGCTGCTTGCTGATATAAAATGGCTGACACTTTGACTGTCAACAGAGGACATATTTCTTTCTTTCTCAGTCTGGGGTTATGCAAAAGATGAAGTAGTAAGTATGGGTTTAAAAATTATAATATGTTTTCCATTTCAGGGGAAAGTGGCTTCTGCTGTGCATGAGTTTTAGAGGGAAATGCAGACCAGCAAGCTGGTGGCACGCTGTCCTGCTCAAAGACACTAAAACAGGATGGATTCTTGCAAAAGCACAGATTCATGTTCATTGGGCTATAATTGAGATGGGTTATTTGATTTTAAAAAAATTATTATTGTATTTTTGTGCTTTAAGAAACAAGACATGGGGTATGTTTATGGTAAGAAGTTTAACATCTGCATTACCAAATCCAATGTTCAACACATGCCATAAATGGGCTTAAACATGGTGAATGGTACAGATGAATCCGGGGACAATGTAGATGCATATGAAGCTAAATAAAAGCTTGTGTTGGAGCTATAAATTGCTGGATCATACGCTTAAACTGACTCATGGTGGGTAATTGGACATCAGACATTTTTGTCTGGATTTGAGAATTAAGTTTTGGACTGAGCAGAACTACTTGATGCTTCCATTAATTATTTGGCTGGGTGGAGTTATACAGTCGATTATTTATTGGGATTGGCGTTGGTGTGTGTGGTGGGACGTTCAAATCGTCGATGTGACTCACTCTTGAGCTATTTGGGCTTGCCCTTTCCAATAAATTTGAAAAAAATGGAATCTCTGTGGCTGACAAAACTTCTTTCAATTCAGATTTGATGTTGCTGCGAAAACCTCAGGAATACTGAAGTAGTCGACGGAGAACAATCACATTTGGTGACTAAAAGCAGCCTGAAACTAGCAGTCACTCTATGAAACTTTTCTTTGGTCCTATACTGTGTTTTAGAGAGACTAGGCTTATGGAAAGGCTTTGGAAGTGACTGCCAAATAACCACATCCACCCTTAACTATCCCTTCTGCTCTCTCCTAGGCAAAAAGGCGATTGGCACTCGATGATTCGGACCACCAGTACCAGACAGAACCAGCCAAAACTCCAAGAGGTAGAGGAGGAGCCGCGGCATCAAATGGGGCACGGCTGAAGACACCCAGAAGTAAGAAGGTGGCTCTTAAGAGCCCTCTGTCATCTTGTTTGTTCATTTCACTGCAGATTGTTTCAACTTCATCGTGTCCACGCTCCTGCCGAGCAGCACAGATGGGAACAGTGTAGATACAGCTGTTTGTTTGTTTTTTGTTGTTGTTTTTTTTTAATGGTTATTCCAATAAAATGAGTTTTATTTTTTCCCCTGAGCTAAACATCATCATGAAGGTAAGGTCCTTGGTTCTCTCCGAGTGGTTCACTCAGCTTTCCATGAAGAAAAATCTCTCCAGTGTTATATCACTATATTAGTAGTGTTGATTAATCTGTTTCATCAATATAGAAACAGTAGTTTATATAGCCCCCCGCTTATCCTTTTCAGGGTCGCGGGGGGCGCTGGAGCCTATCCCAGCTGTCATAGGGCGAAAGGCAGGGTACACCCTGGACAGGTCGCCAGTCTGTCGCAGGGCTAACACATAGGGACAGACAACCATTCACACTCACATTCACTCGCACATTCATACCTAGTGACAATTTAGATTAATCAATTAACCTATCCCCACAAGCAGCATGTCTTTGGACGGTGGGAGGAAGCCGGAGTGCCCGAAGGGAACCCACGCAAACACGGGGAGAACATGCAAACTCCACACAGAAAGACCCCGGCCTGATGGAGGAATTGAACTCAGGACCTTCTTGCTGTGCGGCAACAGTGCTAACCACCGTGCCACCGTGCTGCCACACAGTAGTATTGTGCATATAAACTATGGAGCTGAAATGGGGAACTCTCTCAACATATTAAAGAAAAGCAGGGAAGTGTTTCGTATGAAGCTTGTTGCTTCCAGACTATATTCAAGCACAGTAAGTAACTTCCTGTTAGCTTGGTGTTTTATTTGGCCTGCACTCTTAGAAAATTTAAAAAAGAAAGTGGGGAGAGAGAGATCTGGTTCTTTTACATGAATCTAGTGATTGTGGCAGTGTAAGACGTGGTCTTGTGGGAGGTCACAACAGGTGACGTGGTGTGGATCTCTGCTCTTAAACCGCTCTGCCCACTGAGAACAGGAATGGGATACTGTGCGAATAGAGCCTTTAAAATTAAAAAACTTTTAGCTTTAAATTGCAACCCGACAGAGGAATTAAAAAGCGATCCTTTTTTGCCAAACTGGCTTGTAGCTCGTCTTCACAAAATACCCCGGCGATCGTTGCTGAGTCATTTCCCTTTCAGCATTTCCCTGGAAAAACTGTCTTCGGTTTTCCCAATATTGAGTGTTAATGAGCAATTCGTACTGTAAATGTGTCCAGTATGAAAATTCCTGGCTCTTCGTCTTTGTGAATGAGTCACAACACAAAACCGAGTATGATCACCCATCCGTCCAGCAGGTAGTCTGCTTCTTCTGACACCCCTGCTGCTCTTGGACTCCTGTTGACTCTCGGACATATTGATGAAGCTGCGTTTCGCTCGGCCATATGCTCTCATGTGAAACTGCATCTAGCAATGACTGAGTTTTCATGTCTTGGCTAGAAACCGTCCTTCAAATTGCTTAAATTACTTAATTTCCCCTTCTTTCTGCTTTTTGTCCACCATAGCACCCAAGTCTCCACCAGAGAAGACGCGGTACGACACATCTTTGGGCCTCTTAACAAAGAAGTTCGTGGACCTTCTTGCTCAGTCTTCCGATGGTGTTTTGGACCTCAACCTTGCTGCTGAAACCTTACAGGTAAATTGAGGAAGATGCTTTGTTTTCGGTCAGCGTTTTAGCGACTGATGAGTTACGCCGTTAAATCTGTACGTGTGTTCCTCGCTTGCAGGTACAGAAAAGGCGGTTGTATGATATCACCAATGTACTAGAAGGCATTCACCTCATCAAGAAGAAATCCAAGAACAACATTCAGTGGATGTAAGTGGTTATTCTCCCTCACTCTGCCATGCAGGTGCTTGGTAGTTTCCCCAGTTTTATGTTTTGAAGTCACTTGTTCTTTACAGGATATGCGGTCAGTGGAGCCTGGTAATCACACCTTCTTTGTAATGAAGGAAAGGTGCTTAAGTGAGAGGTAGCTCATACGTACCGAAACATAAATCCTGTGTTTACTTGAACAGAAATCAGAACTTTTTTGCACTGTTGAAGTTGATGTGCCAAATATTTGAAACTAAAAACCAAATGGCTGCAATTGAGCACCCTGAGGTGACTCTAAACCGCTGTATTTCACTCTGCACTGGCTTTTCTTTCATTTACAGGGGCTGTAGTCTGTTGGAGGTCGAAGGGGCGCTGAGCCAGAGACAGAGACTGACAGCTGAAGTTTCTGCGCTGGCTGATGAAGAGCAGAGGCTCGAACAACTCATCCAGAGATGCTCACTGGATATGAGACACATGAGCGAGTTGCCAGGCAACCAGAAATATCCTTTTGTTAGTTGAGATTGTGGCTAAAGTTTTAGTTCAACATAAATCTCGTAAAGATGCAGAGTAAGTCACTACAGGATTGCAAGGTCTTGTTTGTAATCTACTAAAACTGCAGATTTCTGAGCAAACACCAAGCAAGTTAATTTCAGGAGTGTCCACTGCAGTTTTACTAAGAGCAGTGACAACTGGAGAATCAGAAACAACCTGATGATAGATTTTTAAATGTCTCTGTAAGCAGTGTGCTTCTTCAGATCAGTGGGAGGAAGCTGACGGAGTATTGATACGTTCTGACATGAGATTGAAGTCGGTTAGAAATCGCTCTTGACTAGGGAAGCCATTCGCTTCTTAAATGCTGCAGCTCATGTAGGGAGTGGCTGTTTTATTACAAATAAGTTTGTCACAGGCGATCTGATCAAAAACGCCAAACATCAGAAGCCTTTGCTGATATGAGTTTGGGAGATTCCCCAGTAAAGGTGATTTTCTTGGTCACGTCCAGGCAGCAGGTCCTATAGTGCTATAACCCTTTAACTGTGTAATTTGCGATTTCATTTAAACTTGCACAGAGCGCACAAAGTCAAGGTCTGTTTCAAATTAACTCAAATTTTATGTGGAGGATTGTTGTTCATAAGTCTGAGCTCTGGCTGATTAGTTTTCAGCAGGTGTAGGAGTTCAGTTTGGAAGCCTGAGGGCAGCGTGTCAGGTGAGGAGTGGCACTGGACCATTTCCATTAGTACCTACTCAGGGCGGCTCGCCACAGTTTTCAGGATTTTCCATTAGGTGATGAGACCTGGTACCAGGCCGGTGTTCCAAGTGACCTAAAAATGTAATGTAAACAGAATGCATACTACCGATTGGCTAGTTGGTGGGTCACTCAGTGAGTCATGAGTGTCTCCTTCACGAAAATCAAAACCGCCATTTATTAAACCCAGCAATGAGGAAAACAGCTGGACAGAAACAACTTTGCTGAGTCTGAAACTCTACACACTGAGCAGCAGGTGTAACGTTGCCTTGACGTCCACCTTTGCAGTGCTTAGCCGCATTGCAATAACGACCCCACACACGTCCAGTTGGTACTAGGTTGTAATGGAAAACGAGTCGTATCGCCACAAGACTCGAGTCACATCTTGCTGATCTGAGTAGGTACTAATGGTAAACGCTCTTCAGTTTTTTCAGCGCTGTGCACTGTGATTTCATCAATCGTGGCGATTCATCTCTGTGTATTGAAAACAGACTTCTTTTTTTGTCCCTCACACCAGCACAGTGTTAACTCACCAATAACCCACTCACCAAAGTTGCTTCCCTACAACGTTATCCACTTCCCTAAAATTAAAAATCAAGTTTAATGATAACACTTCTGACAAACTGGAGGAGATCCAGAACTGACCGCAGAGGCACAAATGCAAGTTGTGCACTGCTCAGTAAAGACGCAGAGGCTTGAGATCTTTTCCTCATGGACCCGTGTCCTCAGATTTTGCACACTCAAACTCCTTCAAATACCATGCAGTACAGCTAGTTGCAAAAATAATTGTGCCTTTCATTTGTAAATTGTCATTATGAATTCTTTAAGTCTCACTAATTGTTTTATAATGCCAAAAGGGGGTTTAGACAGGCACAGAATGGTGACATGGCTGTTTCTTAGTCTAAAAGTCTCTTCTCAAAAAGCTGTAATATGCTTTCAGTACTTTAAGAGCTCTGCCTTCAGGAACAACTAGCTGTGTTTTACGTCTCCTCGAACAAACCATCTCTTTTCTAACATGTCACAGAATGCAGGTCATTTCATATAGTCTGTTCTGTATCAACACAGACGCAGTTTTATTTCTTTAACCCGGCTGTTTCCACATATGCTTATGTAACATACCAAGATATCAAACAAGGGAGCCTCAGAGACCAGACGGTTATTGTCGTCAAAGCGCCCACAGACACCAAACTAGAAGTGCCGGACCCTGAAGAGGTTTGTATACATGCTCACAAACACACGCACCTGATTTTTATTTTATTTTTTTCGACCACTTGTCATATGACTTGAGTTCTTTTATAGACAAGACTTCATATTGGTTAGGTTCACTTCTGACCTTAGTCGGGTAAGTCAGTCAGTTTTAAATGTAACTATATTGAAGTTTTTCAACGTGATGTCATGCACATCTTGCTCAAGATTTGTCCACCATATTGGATCTTATACAACCACTGGTTGCTAGGCAATAATGTGTGTATTGCCTGATTGGTTCGGAGTGGTTCATGGAGGTTTCTGGTTTTCGCTGGGTGAAATCTGTTGGAAAGTAGGTGCTGCATGAAAACCTCCTATATTGCACCAGTTGGTAGCAGATGTCCCGGTTGCCAGTAGTTCTGTTTTTTTACGCCTCAACCGTAAAAGGTTGATGGCGCATTGTCAGCACCCTGCAGCGCAGGTGGGCAGGCGGGTGATGTGGACCCCCAAGTTTGTAAATGGATAACAGGAGAACTCAGATGAGTTTGAATCTCAGTGACCTCAGGTCAAGTTTTCTGAATATTTTGTCAATGCGATAACTTTAGAAGATGGTCACCTAGGATTTTGAAATTCGTCCCATAGGTGCACCTATTAGAAGGCTGAAGGGTACTACTGACCACTGCCAGTATTTTTCCATGGTTCTCTGCAGACTCTTGCTAACTATCTTGAGCGGTAGAGCATCTTGGAAAAGTAGTAAACTTTTAGTTTGAAGGCGAGTGGTCATCATTTACGCTTTTTCGCACTGTCACCGTTTCATTACAGCTCAGAGCAGCTGGACAGTGTTTACAGACAAGTCTGTCACTTTCATGGAAACTATAAGCAACTGAAGGGATATGCTAGCAACCGTTTTCTGGTTGGGGAAAATGCATCTTTTTTCCCGTATTGTCATGTGGGGGGAAAATGGGTGTCATTTTCCAGCGACTGCCATCAGCCTTCAGCATCCACGTAACTGGTCGGGGAATAACCCCCGCGCAAACACACACACACACACACACAACACACACCCACAAACACACTCACACACACACACCCACAAACACACTCACACACACACACAGTGGGTGGTTGCCTAGCTGGTTTCTAAGCCTATGTGACTGGTGCCTTATTAACTTGATCCTACATTGTCACTATGATGGTCATATCTCCAAAATGACTCACAGGTTAATGCAACAAGGTTGGCAGTCACGTGAACCTCAGTACTCTACTGTATGTTCGAACCATTTAATAGAAACGGAAATTGGGCTGGCCTATGTAACAGACACTTTTTTCCCCTTTAAATCTGTGTGTAAACTTTGAATTAAAAAAAAAAAAAAATTTAAACTTAATTTGGTACCGTTAGTTTTAATTTGTCCTTCAACAATGATTTCTGAGTGGCTCGGTCAGTCTGAGAAATCATTGCGCTGAATTGATCATATTTTAGATACATTGCTACATGCATAAACTCCTACATTTGGTGTGTGCACATGTTGGTAATCAGTAGTACATTTATGTGCATTGTTGTTCTGATTCGAGTACCTGTTCTCTCTCTGTAGAGTTTATCCATACACCTGACCAGCACAAAGGGTCCCATAGAAGTTCTGCTGTGCCCCGATGAGGAAAACGACCCCAAGAGTCCCGTAAAAAATGGGAACACAGACATCAATGGGAACTCTCCTTTCCTCAAAGTCCTTCAAGGTTGGTTTCAGATGGATAGTAGTGTACCGCAGCACTTTGTTTTGTCATTCATAATGAAAAGCTCATCCATTTATTTTGCGTATACATATATCCATAGACTGAGTAAAAGAAAAAATAGCATGATCATTTAAACACGTGGAGAAAAAAAACCCCCATTTCTATTACAGTCACAGAAATTGGCAACATTGAAACAGTTTTCTGTACTGAAGTGAATGAAAACCACATGCTTTGTTTCATTGTTCCTAAATAGTATGAATGGATTGGTAAGAAAGGAGTTCAGTGCTGATCTAGAAGTGGTTCCAGAAGAGACGTCCAGAGCTCACTAGATTTGCTTCCAGTGCAACAAAACAGCCGTACAGCTTCTTTGAAGACCAGTGGTACTCTTGGCTGTGTTGGTGTCATAACAAATTGTCTCTTTCTCCTTCCACAGATCCCAGCTGCACAACCACTTCTCCTAACCCCTTTCTGGCTCCACCTCCCTCCTCTTCCTCAGCTGTCTCCGTCACAACTCTTTCACCCATCTCATCCACTTACACCAGTCTCCTGCAGCAGACAGAAGACCAGATCCCCTCATCCCTGGGTCCTTTCTTAAACCTTGGGCCTACTCTTCTGGACCAAGAAGATGACTACCTGTTAGGTTTGGGAGACGACCAGGGAATTAGCGACTTGTTTGAATCCTGTGACTTTGATAAAATGCCCTCTCTTGGCCTGGATGAGCTCCTGGGCAGCTAGCATTAGGTGAACAAAATGGACGGAAACACAGAGGGCTTTTTCTGTCCCACAGGGAGTACCGTGTTCTTTCATGGTATAACTAACAAACGTCATCAGCAGTGTAAAGCCTTTGATCTCCTTTTTAGTGGATGCTAATTTACACAGCTGGTTGGTTAAATGTAAATGGGGATGGGAAGGGTATCCACATCTTTGTATGGGTGTTACTATAGAGAGACAGCAAAGAGAGAACAGCTATAAGGAAACGTCCCCCACAGTGCTTGGCATGACCTCACATCTGGGGTTATTGCATTGTGTTGAGCATAACCGTGCAGTTACCAAAAAACACCCTCGAGATTGGGAAAGGAGAAAAATCACATTGTCAACTCTTGAAGGATCCTGTCTGGGAATTTGTTTTGGCAAGGAAAAGGTCGATCTTCTTTGTTTTATCGTCGGGTGTGCAGAGCTACCCAGGTAACGCTTTAGGTGTGTTACTGCCAAGTGCTGTGGGTAGAGTTCAAGCTGATTTCATCCACAACAATGATCTGTGACCGAAGGCTTTTACTGCTGACTGTTAAATAGCCATCTTGTGTGTGCACATATGAAACATTTTTGGAAATTATAAAAAAAAAAATATATATATATAAGAATGGAAACAGGGCTGATTTTGATGCACAGCACTCGCAACATAGTTAGAATAGTTAGGTTATACTCTGAACTTTGTAATCAGCCTAAGTATTGGGTACATTTGGGTGTCCATTGAAAAATTATTGTGGAAAATAACCAGAATATGCACTCTGGAGTCATGGAAGAAAGACATTTATGCCACATATTCCAGTGTCTCATCTCCTGACAAATACACAACTTGCTAAGTTGCTAAAGGAAGCTGGAAAAGCCATCATTTCTTGCCAGTGGGTAAATCTGAACACGTGATGTGCAAACTTAAAAATCATCTCCACCCTATACTCTTGATTTGGCGTATTTGGCAGTTGACGCCTCGACTCTCGCTGCTTTTTACCTTTCCCATCTTCATCAGCAGTAGCCGGCATAACTGAATCCCTTAATGCCTCCTCACTTAGACTGTGTGCAGTGCAATTATACTGTGGATTGAGCTATTCAGAGAAACTTGTGTTCGAATCACTTACCACTCTGTGCGCACTTCCTGCTCGGTGTGTACTGAGACTGTTGTTGGCTCTTTTTAGCTTCAATAACTGTTGAATTTTAATGGATTTTAAAACTGTAGAAATTACTTAACGTCTTGGGTCATCTAAGGGGGAAAAAAAACAGGATGAGATAGCCACTTATTTAAACTTCAGCATGTAATGAAGGGCTTTTTTCCTCTGTAAGAAAATGTTAAAAAAAAATACAGCTATTTTGTAATTTAAGTGAATTCAGCGCAACTAAACCGTAGTGACTTGTGTTTGTTTAGAGCTACTGAATTTACCGTGATTAGCCAGCAAAAAAGGCTTGATTACTTGCTGAAAAACAAGCTGAGAGGATGTAATTTTTTTCCCACTTTAGGTATTAGAAACACCATCACAGTCCACTACCAGTAGCTTGTCTGATTACATCCCTTATAATAGTGAAGTGCAAAGAGACCTTGGCTTTTAGAGATCACAGGTGATATTGCTGCTGTTATTGTTGACTTATCCCTGCCCGACCTGATTGACGTGTGCTTGAGGAATCACGTGTGTGAGTTAATGTCAGAGTCGAGCTTGCGTTAAAGAGTAAGCCTGCCCGTGTGTAAATTGATGTACAGTTTTCTAATTTTTTTCAGTGCACAAGGTACTGTAGGCTACCTCTCACTTAATGTTGCAAAATAGAAAATAGGGCGTTAAGAGATAAATGCCATAGTTTGTATGATTTTTGAATTCTTTTGTTTTAGGAATTGCCCGCAGTTTATTTAGCAGTCATGTCGGAAACCCCGACATTATAGTGGGAATACCGTTGGCCAAAAGCCAGACTTATACTGTCACATATTAATTTTCACCACTGGGGTGCACATTTGAAGCATAGAAAAGTGGATGAATGTATTGCAATATATTTTTTTAGTGTGTGTCGTTTTTGTTTTGCTTTTTTCTCCAATAAGTTATTTAGCTCCTGTGTCAGTGTTTTTGTTTTAATTATGTTTTTTAAATGGAGAGGCACCACTTAGACACAGGCAGTGATTCGCAGTTGGTCTATCTGGTCATGCAGAGACATTTCTGTGTTTTTCGCATCCCTGGTTTGGCTGTTCTCTGTTGGAAGTGTGTAGGAACTTTTGGAAACTTCCCCCCTGATATTCCTTACCATTTTTGCAATTCTCAGTTTTTTTGGAGAGTAGTGATGCCTCTCCAAGTGCCCCTATTATGCTCATGTACAACCTCTGTTTCATTATTGCTAAAGGAGCTAGAATATGTTTGCGTGCTTTAATGTTCAAAGAACACATTATACCGTACATTGCTGCAGCATTTCTGTTCACTTTGTCTGAAACTTGCACTTGTGTGCCTTGAATACTCCGCTCCCAATAATCCCCACAGTCTGCACTAAATGACTAGTTGGCATGAAAAAGGCAAGGTGGTATTATCTGACAACAGAAATGCAAAATATGTAAATGAGAACATCGCTTTGGACTGTATTAAAAATACACGGTTGTGCATTCTTTTAGGGTCTGCCAAATTAGCCACTAGGTGCAAGTGTTTTACACAGTGACCGAGAGGTTACAGAAGAAAATCCTCGAATGCAAATTTTATTTTATTTTGTTGTTTGGATGAACTTAATTTTTTGTGCTGCTTTTTGTTTGTTTGTTTGTTGGGTTTTCTTTTGAAGCATTTCACATCTGCAAAATTCTGACGCAAGAGGACGATGGGGGCAATTCAGGAAAAGCATGTTGACTTGTTAAAGAATAGCCTCAACTCTGAGAAGAACATCCAGTCTCTTCATTATTTCAATCTTTACAAAATGCACAAAAATGTCCTGATTTACAGGCGTATTTATATTGGTGTATTTTACATGTATTCATGCAAAGTTTAAACACCCACTCTCCAGTTTACAGTAGGTAAAATATTTTCCCCCAAGGATTTCAAGCAACCAGAATCTGGTTGCTATATTTTATGTCCTTTTACATGAGGGATTTTTGTGTGTGTGTGTGTGGTGGAAAGATTGTACCTTTCCATTGGTTTCTAATGGAATGTTGGAGATTTCATGCACTGCTAAAGCTAGTGTCTGGTAATAATGAGTGACTTAAAATTGCAACTTTTTTTTTCATTTCGAAATGTGTGATTAGATCTTACTGAAGTGTATCGTTAGGCTAAGTATGATGCTAACTATGGTCCACATTGAAACAGCTTTGTTTTTATTTTCTTATGGTTATTCTTGAGCTGTTACCAAATACGATGTAATGATCAGTGAATATTCTGTAAAGCTTATGAAAAAAAAAAAAAAGCGACACAAAAACAAAACAAAAAACAAAAATCTGATTAGAAAGAATTGTCTGTAAAATTATATTTCTGCCTGTTTTTGCTAACTACAGAACAGAGCAGTTTGCGATGTGAAGGCATGGGTGAAAGAGCTCATGAATGTTGGAGATAAAATTGATGTCTTTTGATATGTGTGTATTTCAGTTAAATGCTTGTTTATGTACATCTGTTAAAATGAGGAATTTGAGCTGTGTGTGCGTGTCTGTGTGTATTGGAGGGGTAGGGGGGTGGGTTGGGGGGGGATAAATGAATTTGTTTTTTTTGTACTCTGGGCATTTGTAATTGAAAATTTGAATAAAGCAAATATAAATGAGGAAATGTATATTTTGTCTTGATGCGTCTTCAGGGAGTAGTTTGCACTATGGTGGAAAGTTTGGCTGCACTATTAGAAGTCTGTAGGTTCAAACATGTATAGTAACTTGCCACTAATTACACCTTACTATTTGTACAGGTTAGGTCTCCTTGTGTCTTCAGGGATGTTGTAATTGTAAGACCGATTCAACAGGGAACTGGAAACATCAGATTCTGATCCATATTGACATGATGGCTTCACACAGTTGCTGCAGATTTATTGGCTGTCCATCCAGGTAACTGCTTTCATGAGAGCTTGAATCAGTCTGACTGTTGTTATCTGACATCAGTAATTTGTTTACACTAACAAACCAACCAACTTGCCAACCATTCTCTGTAAACCCAGGAGATGGTTGTGTGGGAAAAATCCCAGACCAGCCTGTCTGGCATTTCACATTCAAAGTTACATAAATCATGTTTCTTCCTCATTCTGCTCAGTTGAAACTCAGCAGGTCATCTTGACCGTGTCTACATGTCTAAATCAAAGTCAGCTTTGTTGTCAAAGACCCCATGTACAGTCATACATAGGAATTTGAAATTGCGATACTCTCATGGCCCTCAGTGTGCACTAAAACAATATAAAGACAAGTCTTATGTACAATACTGTATAATTATTTAAACAGCAGTGTCCAACACAATCATAGTGATTGTGGGCAAGTTGGTGTGCAAATGGTGGTGGTTCAGAGTTTGTATGTTTGGGGGGGGGTTCAGAGGGAAGAGGTCAATGCAGGTCTGGAGTTCGTGTGTGTCTCAGTCTGCTGGTTCTAGCCCGGAGGCTCTTCAGTCTCCTTCCTAATGGCAGCAAATTGAAGAAGTTGGACAGATGAGTTGGGTCACCTGAAATGCAGAGGGCTTTCCGGATGAGGCGGGTGCAGTAGATGTCCTGGAGGGAGGGAAGAGAAGTATCCACGATCTTCTCCGCTGCTGTCACTACCCGTTGTAACTTTTTCCGTCAGGAGCCATACTGCACAGTGATGCAGCTGGTGAGGATACTCTCAACGGTGCCTCTGTAGAAGGTGCTCGTAATGGTGGTTGAGGCTCTTGCTCACCTCAGTTTGCAGAGGAAGATCTCCTGAGATGTGCACAGCCAGGAACTTAGTGCTGCTTACCCTCTCTACAGCAGCACCGTTGATGGTTAGTGGGGTGCGAGTTCTCCTGAAGGGACAGGTTGTTGTTGCTGCACCACTCGGCCAGATGGTTAACTTCACTCCTGTAGTAGGTCTCATTGTTGTTGCTGATGTGACCCACCACATTTGATGAAGAGGTTGGAGCTGTGTGATGGTGTGCAGTCGTGGGTCAGCAGAGTGAAGAGAAGCGGGCTCAACATGCATGCATCCAATCTGATGGGGAGGCTATAGTTCAGGACGCAGAGCAAATCATCCACTAATCAGAAGGTTGCAGACCCAGTCTGCATGCTGAATATCCTTGGGCAAAATACTAACCCCAGGTTGCTCTCTGATCGGAGTGTCAATGCACTGTCAATAGATAGAAAGCACTTACAAAGAGAAAAGTGCTTGTGTGGGTGGGAATGGGTGAAGGAAGCAAGTTGTATAAAGTGCTTTGAGTTTTCAGAATAGAAAAGCGCTGTATGAGAACCTGCCCATTTACCATTTAAATGAGCAGCTGAACCGGTATACCTAATGAAGTGGCTGGTGACCGTATATGTAGTGTTATCCACACATGACACTGAATCATGCCCGTATTCAGTTGGTCTGAACTTATTCACCCACTACTTGAGAAAAACACGCGCTTATACAGTTTGTCCCTGTTTACCTTCCGTACTTACAGACAAGTATGGCGGTCTAAGGGTTGTGGTGACTGCTTTGGTGGCGTAAATAATCATCGTGTGCCTTTTTAAAGCATATTGCCCTCGGCATTCGAGTTCAACTGAAGGCTACAACTACAGTGCGGCTAAGGTAAGAAACTTTAATGTTTTTATTGGGACTGTCTGCTCAGAATAAGAGACACGTGGGTACTAGCTAGCCAATGAGGCTAGCCAAGATAAACGCTACCCTGCGCTTGTTAACCAGTAAAACCAATGAAGAGGGATAAATAAGTGTCAAATGGAGCATTTTAAATGTTTAAATTTATGTTAATGTTAGCCTCCCTGTGTAAATCCTCGTTTAGGGTAAACTAAAACCAGCTCATAAGTGTGAAACGTGATCTGTTGTATAAAAGTTGTACAACTTGAACCCAGTAAGCGTTTAAGTGATGTGTGCGCATATTCAGCATAGCTTGTATCTCCAGCCATGCAGCTTTTCATCTACTTATCATGAACAACACATTCAAAGAGAATGTAACGGTAATTAATACATGTGCATCAGTCGATAGAGGTACTGTACTTCAGGATGTCGCACTCACTGGTCATGAAGATCTTGTATTGATAGTTTTTTTTAGTAATACTTTAATCCATAATTTGCACACTGCATTTTTCTTTATCTATAAATCCTTCTAATAATCATGCTTATTTTGCAAATGCTAATGCTGTTCCTGCACACGTAGCCTTTGCATTCCTAAAACCCTAAAACGGGTACTAATGAAAAAACAGTACAAGGTACAAGGAGTGAGACTGAGGAAGAGTCAGCCATAACATTGCTGAAGAGGTTTCATATCCAAATCTTGAACCATTGCGCAAAACAGTTTAGGAACAAAACAAAGTGTCCACAAAACCATACCAAGAATTTTGCAGGTACTCTGACTTTATGAGTAAAAACCTTGAAATCTGCTAAATGAAGGAGAGTCTGCAGGCAGCAGTGAAGCATGGAGCTTTCTTAAAGGGATTCTGCCACTATATATTTTTAGGTTACTCCAAAAGGCTGACTAAAGCTTTGCTTAATTTCCAGATCATCATGCCGTCTTCTTGTGACTCTCTTATGGAAGACATCGAGGACATGGTGTCTTCTAGTGACCCCACTCCTCATGAAAGACAGTCTGCTAGAAAAAGTATCATACCAAGGGCAAGGAAGAAGAAAGAGCTCCTGAGCGATGAGGAGCTTCAAGCTGACAGGTGTGTCCAGTGTTTGATATTATGTTACTGCCATGGGGGGAAAAAGGGAAATTGTTGGCTTAAAAATAAAAAATGTAACCATGTATTAAAAAAATGTATTAGTAGATATTTTTGTCAGCGAAAGAAAGGTGTATTTTGGCTTCATGTTAGAAGGAATAACGTCTTTTAGATGGTTTTTAATAATTGTCCACCCATCTCTTAACATCAGTGCACTGAAATGTTTGAGCCCACTTCCATGTGGAGATTATAGTTGTGGAATTCAAGCCTAAAACACATTCAACATACATCCTCTTTATGATTTAACCATCGATAACCACCGGCATTTTGTAGAGGGTGTAGCAGCCATGGCTGTTTTTCTTGAAACAACAACTTTAATCGCCACATTTGGACATTTTCTCAAAATGACCAATAATGTTTTTTCTTCATGTGGCCCTAATGCTTTTTCGTACCTGCTCATTTGGTTTTTTTTTTTTAGAAAAATGTCATGTTGCCAGCTTTGCACAGATCCACAAATGTAGGCTGAAACACAGATTATGTTTTGTAGTATAGTGGTGACAATCTGTTCTCTTTATTTAGAGAAAGAAAGAAAAAAGAAAGAAATGTAGGTATGCAGTGGAAGTACAGATGTCCCAGTTTCACACTGGGACTTGAACGCATCTCATGTTTGTTGATCTGTGAAATTAGTCTCAAAACTCCACTTGAGATGAGTGTATCAGGCTATTCGTGCA